AGACACGCCCCTTATTGCTGATTGGCTACAAGTTTGTTTTGCGATTCGGCCCGAATCAGTTTTCTAAAGTGTTTTTGAAAAATCACATACCCTGCCTTTAAGTAACATTCCATATTAAATCCATAGAGAAAGCAGTTTATTGTGTAACGCCCAGTAAAAAAAACAACAACAGCACCCTTAGACGAAACTGTAATAATAACATGTTTGGCAAACTCTTCTGTGCATATTTGTATTTGTGCTCTGGAAAGCATCAGACGTTTCTATTTACAATGTTTGCAGCGTTGAGCAGTGTACAAGAGCACCCTTAGTTAAAACTGTAATAACATATTTGGCAAACTCTTCGGTGCTTATTTGCATTTGCACTCTGGAGAGCATCAGATGTTTCTGTTTACAACGTTTGCAGTGTTGAGCAGTGTAGCCAATCACAGACACATCCATTGAACCGAACTGAAATGAGTGACAGGCTCAGTGCATCTGAAATGATAAAGGAAGCACTCTTTGCATGCATTCTAGGCTATCAGTAATGCATTCAGAATTTTAATAAAAGTTTTTTTTTTCATGATGCTAAGAGGAACAACGTCCCCTCACTAAAGTTCAGCTATTGTTTAGTTATTTTACATAAGCGCACTGTAAAAAATCCAATTAACAAAATGTTGGAAGGGCAAAAATATTTAAGTTGAGAGGACATATTATATTAAGTCTACACAAATATATTTGAAAAACATTGAATGAACAGTTATTTTCAAATCCTGTCAAAATTAGCTATGCTAATGTTGAAAAGAACTCAATGTGTCCTCAGGGGCCTTTGGTAATTTGGTCTTGTCTGTTATTTGACTCTCAAAAGCCAGCAACCAGAGACGTGCAGTTTATGAATTGCCATGTTTTCAAAGACCATGTTTTCACCTAAAAATTTCCTTTACTGTTCAATTGAAGAAAAAAAGTTAACTACATCTTGGATGGCTTGAGGGTGAGTCAATTAACAGCAAATTTTCATTTTTGGGTGAACTATCCCTTTAAGCCTGCATGTTTAGTCTGTATGACAAATGTTATAAATGCAGATTGTTATTAAATAAAGGTTATTATGTGTTGTAATGTGTGTGTTTTAGTGATTGATAGACACCAGGTAATAATTTTCTTAAACTCAATATAAAATATAATAACTAGTTATACAGCAATTTCTTAGCATGCCCAAATAATAAATCTTATTTGAGGTAACATATGAAACACATGGAGTGAATGGTTAAATTTTAATTGACACAATTTGCTGTAGTTTTCTAAATGTTACCCCAATTAAATAATTTTAGTTGAATGGACTATAAAACTATTTCAGTAAAGGTTGAGCCAACTAAAAAAAATAACAATTCAGGCAACACTTTGAAGACAGAAATTGACTGAACGTAAAATTTCTGTGGAACTTGTTACTAAATAATAATTAGTTGAAACGGCTTGAATTTTTTTACAGTGTGTTCAAATGAATCTCAGACGTGAACATACTTGCTTTGCTTGATCCATGCATGTACAAATTAATTCTAAAAATAAATATATATTTCCTTTTAGAATTAATTTGTTTGTGTGTATATTCTTCACTATAATACTATTACTGTAGCTGATTAATAGAATTATGTTTAACAAGTCTTCTTATACCTACACTTATTATACACTGAGTTTATAATGCAATAAACTTCTCATAATGTAATAATTGTTATTATATTATGAACTCAATATTGTATTACGTTTTGAGAAGATTATTACATTATGAACATTTTATTACAATAATAATGTAATACTTATTACATTATGTGTAGTTTTTACATTATGTGCAGTTATTACATTATGAGTTGCTACAATGGCCCAAACTTCACATGTTTGATGAAAGTCCTGGCCTGAAGACATCTACATGCCAACATTCAATTACGGTCGTAGCGCCACCAGCTGGCAGCAGGAGGTTTTGCACATATAAATGACGTTGACATATTCCTCCAATATTTATATATGGGCATATTGCCCACCATTCACTGTTTTTCTAAAGCCACGGGTGGAGGTGTCTCTGTGTGCAAGAGCCCTTTAACGCTGCTTGCAGCTTTAATTTATTTTGGGACTGTGCAGCATAAAGTATTCTGGGTTGACTTTTGTAATTTTGTTTAAAAAATATCTGTATTCAAACTTCTGTATAACCTTATGTGTTTTTTGGTTTCTCTTTGAATTTACACCCTTCTTACTTTAAATTTATTATTAATTTGATGCTATTTCTTGCCAAATTTTACATTCATAAATGTAAATTTTCTAATAAAATTCTAATAAATTTGTTGTATGTAAGACTCTTTTATGGTGTGATTCTTATAAGCTAACATAGTATGCTTTGAATGAATGTACGTAACCCTAATTATCTATTGTTCTTATTTTATCTTGGTACTTGTAATTGTTATTCATTTACTGTATAATAATAATAAAATCTGGTTCAGTCATGCAACATGTGTGACTGTCAGTGCTTTAAATTTTCAATATTTAGAGAATCATTGATGTATTTTTCATATATTTGCTTAAGCTTGAATAAACTACATCATGCTTTAGCAAACCACACATTGGAAAATAATTTCAGCTGTGTTAAGAGTTTTTCTAGACGGCATTACTTTTAGTATGTACATATGCCGGCATTTCTGCCATATGTACATAAACTGACAGTCACCACTGATAAGCTACTACTAAATATTGTAGAAACTTAATTTTCTGTAAAGTTGCTTTGTAACGATTTGTATCGTAAAAAGCGCTATACAAATAAACTTGAATTGAATTTTAGAAAGCATTAATTTAGCTCATCCAAATTTTGAATTTTAATTGTTCTTACTGTTCTTTGTCTTTCAGTCTGGAACCAGGCTGTTGACCAAAAACTGCTGGAAGACTAATGATTGAAAAATTGTATATTATATTTTACCATGTCTTGTGGTATTGGACATTGGAAAGCGAGTTAAAATGTTAAAAAGGGTTTTACTTTTTTCATAATTTGCCCAGCTGTGAACAGACCGAGGGGGAACCCTGCACCGTACCTAGCACTGGGCCTTTTTTGATGTTTCAATCATCAGAAGGAATAAATTATGACTCTTTTTTAAAAAACCCTGTTGAAAAAAACAGCATACTGTATGCTGGTTAGGTATGTTTTGAAGCATGGCTGCTGGCTTGACCTGGTTTAAGCTGGTCCTTAGCTGGTCATGGGCTGGTCCTAAGCAACTAGCTTCTGCTCAGGACCAACTAAGGACCAGCTTAAACCAGGTCAAGCCAGCAGCCATGCTTCAAAACATACCTAACCAGCATATGCTGTTTTTTTTTTTCAACAGGGATGACTCTTGCTCTTTTCAAATCTCACCTTATAAGACGTCACAGCCTCCCTCAGCTCCTGAATCTCTTCCTCTTTCTTCTGGATTTTCTGGTTAAGTTGTATCTGTGTCTCCCCCAAATGTCTCTGCATGAAACACATAAACTTGAGTTTCAGGTTTTCCTCAGGATACAGTAAATCACCAGACTCCATATTTATCTGAGTTCATGTCCTAGCCAGTCTAACAGCACTAATGTGTTTCTTATTCTTTCTTCTATTTCACTGTAAAGACAATAAAGCTCAAAGACCCCAAACTTTTTGAGATGATCCCCAATATCTCCCACTACTCAGGCAAGTACACAGACACCCAGCTGATAGATGGCACTAAAGTGAGCTAATTTATGTTTCTGCTGATAGCTCAGGAACTGCATTAGTCAATCTGTTTTTTTAATCAAGTGCCCTTGAATATGATCATATGGATTTCAATTGCCTGGGAAACTTACCTGTTTCTCTGTTCTCGCTGCTGCAGTTGAAACAGTGTCATGATTTTTGTGTTCATCCACCAAACACATCATACAGATACAGCTCTGGTCGGTACGGCAGTAAATTTCCAGCATTTTATCATGTTGAAGGCAGATCAGTTCCTGCAGTCGTCCAGTGGCGTCCATCAGGTTGTGTCCTTTGCCTCTGAAGAGATTCTCATGCTGTTCAAGGTGAGTTTGACAGTAAGAGATTCGACACCCCAGACAAGATTTCACTGCTTTCTGTTTAATTCCAGTGCAGGAGTCACACTGAACATCTTCAGATCCAGCGTGAACAGAAGCAGGAGGATCAGCAGGAGTAGCAGAAGCAGTAGCTTGGAGCCTCGTCTTCTTCAGTTTCTCCACCATTTCAGCAATCATCACGTTTTTGCATAAAACTGGTCTTGGTGTGAAGGACTGTTTGCATAAAGGACATCTGTAGATTCCCTTCTGATCGTCTTGATCCCAGACGTCTGTGATGCATCTCTTACAGTAATTGTGTCCACAGGGAATCATCATTGGATCCTTCAGCAGATCCAGACACACTGAACATTTCAACTGGTTCTGATCCACTGAAATATTGGCTTCTGCCATTTCACTCTATAACACACAGAAAGAGAGAGACGATACACACTGCAGCTCAACAGTTCATTTCCTCCTTATGGGAGGGTTTATATATCCTCCTGATTATATTCTTGAGAAACAGGTTTTTCTGCAGGGTGTGACTTACTGTAAGGTTACTGTAGTGTTTTTTAATGATATGTGTTGCAGTATATGCACTGTCAGAAAAAAGGGGTCAAAAACTGTGACTGTGGTATCATTTAAAATAAGGCTGCACAATGAATCGAAATCGGATTGTGATTAAATCGTGATTAAATAATTAGGTTTAGTGCGATTATGAAATCGCAAAAGCTGTTGTGCGCTGTCTTTCTTGGCGTTGTTAGAGTCAGCAAAACCAAAACCAACATATTAAACATCTCTAAAAACTTCTGAAACAGCTCCAAAACTAGAATTAACCCTTAAATAAAGAGCCAAATACAGTCAGCTGTGAACTCACAGGTTAATTTCAGAGCCTGAACTCACCTGTATCTGGGAGAGCCAAAAATCACAGGACTTAATGACTACAGAGCATATAAGCGTCTTGTGGAGGGAGCTCTAGAATTAATAATAGTGTCGGTAGTCTCAGCCGAGAGACCAGAACACATTAACGCATTCCGCTCAGGGGCCACACCTGTCGATAAATCCGGTCGAGGGTGCCAAATCGTGCCCCGAACTTGTGTCAACAGATCGTGTCTGAGGGGAATCTCCCAAGGAGGGCCGACCGACAGACTGACCAGGTCCGAAAACCACGACTGGGTGGGCCACCATAGGGCCACTAACAGCAGGTGCTCCACCCGGTCCGATCGCACTCTGAGCAGAACTACTGGGAGCAGCCAGATCGGGGGAAAAGCATACAGACTGGTTCTGGGCCATTCGTGGGCCAGAGCATCCAGACCTAGAGGAGACAGGGAAAACCAGAGCGGGCAGTGCGTAGTCGTGCTCGAAGCAAACAGATCCACTTCCGCTCGTTCAAACCTCTGCCATATGAGATCCACCACTTGAGGGTGAAGTCTCCATTCCCCGTCCTCCAGCTTCTGTCTCGAGAGCAAGTCTGCTCCTGAGTTCAGGTGACCCGGGACATGGACTGCTCTGATTGACAGGAATTTGGTTTGAGCCCAAAGAAGAACACTCCTCGCCAGCCTGTACAGGGGGCGAGAATGTAATCCTCCTTGACGATTCAGGTAAGAAACTAGTCATGTTATCCGTCCTGACTAACACATGACAGTCCGTCAATTGCGGTAAAAACTTTCTGAGAGCCAGGAAGACTGCCAGTAGTTCCAAACGATTTATGTGCCAGCTCCGATGTTCCTCTGACCAAACTCCCCGGACTGGACGTCCTTGATGGACCGCTCCCCAGCCCGTCAGGGACGTGTCCGTCGTGATAGTTTTGCGACAAAGACATGCCCCCAGTTGGACTCCTTTCTGAAGGAACTGGGGTCTTTTCCACGGCTTTAGAGCACGAAAACCTCTGCGTGTCACCGTAATTCTGCGAAGCGGATGACAATAAGGTGAAATGTTCTGGCTCTTAGTCCACCACTGAAACGGTCGCATGTGGAGCAGGCCCAGCTGAACTACAGGGGACGCTGCCGCCATCAGACCCAACAGTCTGAGACACAAGCCTACATGGACTAGGCACCCTGTCTTGAACTGACTTAGACAGGTTTGCAATGACTGCACACGTGCGGGAGACAGACGTGCCCGCATCGTGCAAGAATCCATGTCTACCCCCAAGAACGTTGTTCGCTGGCGTGGCAGCAGAACACTCTTTTGTGGGTTTGTCCGTAGTCCTAGGCTCCGTAGATGATCGAGCACTAAATCTCGATGTATCCGTGCCTGATCCTGGGATTGAGCTAATATTAGCCAATCGTCCAAGTAGTTCAAAATTCGGATGCCCTGGAGCCGTAATGGGGCCAGAGCTGCGTCCATACACTTTGTAAATGTTCGAGGGGCCAGAGCCAGTCCAAACGGAAGAACACAATACTGGTAAGCTTTGCCCTCGAAAGCGAACCTGAGGAACTTCCTGTGTCTCTTGACGATCTGGATGTGAAAGTATGCATCCTTTAGATCGATGGTCACAAACCAATCTCGGTGTTGGATCTGAGACAAAATGGACTTTACTGTTAGCATCTTGAACTTGCTCACTCTGAGAATCGGACGTAAACCACCATCTTTTTTGGGCACAGCAAAATACCGGCTGTAAAAACCCGACTCCATCTGAGTGGGGGATAATTCTTCTATAGCCCCTTTCTCTAGGAGTGACACGATTTCCTGGCGTAACACCGCAGCCTGCCCAGGACGTACTGTCGTGGGAAGAATCCCGCTGAAAGGGGGTGGCCCTTTCCGAAATTGTATGGTGTAACCGTGTCGAATGGTGAGTAGTACCCATTCCGAGACGTCGGGCTAGCGTTTCAACGCGGCCCAAAAATCTGCTAGAGGTTTTAGACGCTCTATGTTTGGCGGTGGTCGAACTACAGGTGTCAAGATATCTGACTGCGGAAAGCCGCTGGCGTCCGCGAGAACAGGTAGCATGGAAAGAAATGCTAATGCATTATGCAAGAAATGCGGGGTTGATAAAAATCTCGCCTGAGTTTCCCGCATAGGGCCCCGAAGCAACTAAGTGGCGGGAACTTCTATAACAGGATGGCATCCAAGAGCCCTGTCGGGCCTGCCCAACACCCCAAGGGTGGGGGCTTTGAAGGCCGTCATAAACGGGCCATGCTCGCATGACCCTTGGGCTTTTTCTCAAGCTCTGAAGGCTGGGACGCGCAGAGTGTGTGAGGAGGTGCTCGCCACGAAGACTCGATCTAAAACCGCCCGAGGCGCAGTAAGCGGTGGGACGATCAAGATCTGAACCGGGAGGCCACATTGAGAGAGGCAGATACGCTTGTGCGGTCTGACCAAACTCTCCAAAGGAGGGCCTGGCCTCCGAAGACGAGCGAGGGAATCATGAACTGCTACTAGGAGCCTGAAAACGAGAGGCCATGGCTGTCGAACTCAGGTCTATCCGCTTGCGTTGGTGCGAGCGAACCGGTGGACAAGACCTAGGACCCCAATCCTTCCGAGGGGGTGCCATAGGTGATGGTACACTACGCTGAACCTCCCGATGATGGTGTAGAGAGCATGAGTGTGAACGGACCATTGGTGGTTAACGCTCTGCCTCCCTGGGCCTATGCGGAATGAGCTGGCGAAAAGCGGCAGACTGCTGTTTTGCTGCCCGAAACTTATCCACCACGGTGGTGACTGAATCTCCAAATAGGCCGTCTTTAGAAATGGGAGCGTCCAAGAGAAAAGTTTTGTCCTTTTCTTTGATGTCTGTGAGAGTGAGCCAAAGGTGGCGCTCAACTGACACCATACCTGCCATGGACCTACCCACTGCTCAAGCTGTATGTTTGGTAGCTCTAAACGTCAAATCTGCAGCTCTCCTGAGCTCCTTGACAGCCTCAGGAGTGAGGCCTTCCCCTTCATCCAGCTCCTTGAGAAGCTCTGCCTGATAGGCTTGAAGCACACCCATGGAATGTAGCGTGGCCGCAGCCTGCCCAGCGGCCATGTAAGATTTCCCGATTAAACTGGAAGTGATCCTACATGGCTTGGACGGCAACGTAGGGCGCAACTTCCAAGATGGAGCTGAATTAGGCGCAAGGTGTGTGGCGAGAGTCTCTTCGACGGCCTGCATTGCCCCGTAACCGTGATCCGCCATTTTAGACACGGTGGCAAAATCAGCGGCAGCGGCGTTTGTAATACGCGCCGAAAAAGGCTGCTTCCAAGACCTCGAAACTAGGGATGCACCGATACCGATACTGGTATCGGTATCGGGCTTGATACTGAGCTCCTGTACTCGTACTCGTACTCTTTAAAATGCCCCAATACCAAACGCCGATACCATACAGCATAGGAAAAAGTGGTATCGGTGCATCCCTACTCGAAACCTCTTGGTGGAGGTCCTGAAAGAAGGGAAGAGGCCTACGGGGCTGAAATGGAGTACGACTAGTCAAAAACCGGTCATTCAATTTAGATTGGGCCTGGTCTTGCATTGGCTCACAGTCCCAGTCTAATCCCAACTTGCCCACCGCGCGCGTCACAACGTCTAACAACTCATTGTAAGACGGGGAATTGCATTTCTCCTGTCCGCTCGGAGGGAGAGAACTGCAGGCTAAGGGTTGCCCGACTAAGTATTGCTAGTTGTGTAAATACTGTCATACTAACAGCTGTCTGAATTATTTTGGTTGATTGTAATCCTTTCTATCAAAATTATCTAATATTATCAAGATGAATTTGTTCTCACACAGTGTAACTCTGAGTTCTTGTCATATTTTATTACCATTTTCTAAACTATAGCGAATAAACTGTGTCTGAATAAATTTTGGTTTGACTGTATCTATTTGATAAATGAAGTTAACCAACTAACATTATACATACTCTTTTGGTTTCTATACCCAATATTTAAAAAATGTACAAATGCAATAAAAATATCGGTATCGGTACTCGGTATCGGCAAGTACCAAAAATAAAAGTATCGGTATCGGGCGAGTACTGGAAAAAGTGGTATCGGTGCATCCCTACTCGAAACCTCTTGGTGGAGGTCCTGAAAGAAGGGAAGAGGCCTACGGGGCTGAAATGGAGTACGACTAGTCAAAAACCGGTCATTCAATTTAGATTGGGCCTGGTCTTGCATTGGCTCACAGTCCCAGTCTAATCCCAACTTGCCCACCGCGCGCGTCACAACGTCTAACAACTCATTGTAAGACGGGGAATTGCATTTCTCCTGTCCGCTCGGAGGGAGAGAACTGCAGGATTCCGCCATTAAATCCTCTGAATCAGAGGCCGCGGTGGACAAAACATCATCATCATACAGCTCACAACTGAAGGAAACCGCATTACGGGCCTCCAGGGTAGGCCGAAAATCGTCATTGATGAAGACAACCGGCTCGACATAATGCTTTTGGAACTCTTGAACATGGCCGGGCGAGAGCGAGAGGAAAGGAGAATACTCCGTC